CTGTTAAGGCAAAAACTGAAGATAAGGTAGTGATGTCTACTTTATATATTTGGTCTTAACTCTACCATTTTAATTAGAATTCCCTGTATCCAAAACACTGCCTTTTACTTATTAAAAGACATTTTAGTGTGGTTTATGTATACTATCAAATAAAGAATATGTAACACTTTACATATTTATAAATGATTTGTAAGGTCAGATGCTTTTAAAAGTCAGTGTGACAAGATTTAGTAGCATGTTAAATTATACCTTTGAATTCTATTATCTAAGTCAGACTAAATTATATTTCAGAATTGTTAGGCAACTGTCCAAAGCCACATAGAAACTGAAGAACTACTGTATGTGTGTGATTGGTAATGGTGTTTTTGCCGATGTATTAGAAGGATTAAAGTAAAGGAGATATACCATCAGCATAGTTTGTAAATTATGCCATCATAAGACTTAAGATAATTAAAAACCAAATGATAGATTAAAAAAAATGCAACTTATAGACGAAGAGTCATCATCTATGCACACACACACACACATACACACATAGATAGCTTCTTTTTTTCTTTTTAGAATTATTTATTTAATTTTATTTATTCATTCATTTATTTTAATTTGACCAGAGAGAGACACAGAGAAAGGGAAAGTGAGGAAAAAAGCCACCAGGTCCAGGACTCAAACCATGGTCTTCCATGTGGGAGTGTCCAGCCCCTCAATCACCACATCAACTGCTGGCCCCCCACACATAGATAGCATCTAACAATTTAGGAGTAAAAGGCCAGCAATTTTCCAGAATTATAGGTAACAGATATGGAAAAACAAGTTATAGAAAATGAAATATAAGTGTCTTTTAAACATATAAAAATAAATGGGTTTCTGTCCTGGGACCTCCCAGACTACATGAGGTAAAATAAATAAGTAAAAAAATAAAATAAATGCAGAGACAGTCTATGGCACAGTGGTTGAGGAAGCCAGATCCCTCACGGTCAACTGTGTTTCAAATCCCAGTCCCAATGACTTGAAAAACACACCAGATGCATGTGTGAACGTGTTCAATCCCAGTCCCAAAGAGAGAAATGGAGGAGAAGAGATTGCAGCATGAACATGCTCCACTGAGGAGTGCTTTTACCCTCTCTGTCTCTGTCTCTGATGAGCATACATACCCTTGGCAATTAAAAATAAACACATACATGCTTGCATACACACAAATTAAAACTACACTGGGACATGTTTTTCATCTATCTTGCCCAAAAGTCAAAAGATTGACAGCATTGGGGAAGCTATGGGGAAACAAGTACTCCATATTTTGCTTATAGGAATGTAAAATCATATAACTCCTAAAGAGGTGAAATTGACGATATCTAGCAAAGTTACATATTACATAGACATATCCCATATGCTTATTGCATATACAGCTTATGGAATTACACATTATCCTGTGGCTCAACAAGGTCACTTCTAGAAACGTATCCCAAAGATCTACTAACGTAAGTGCGAAATGACATGCTTAGGCTCTCCCTTACAATACTATATGTAAGAACAAAAAACAAGCTAAATAAATTATGGTTCAGTTACACAAATGGGTCCTAAGCAACTTGGAAAGGCTATGAGGGAGGCCAGCAAGTGGTCTGGTGGTTAAGGTGTTGTACTCCCACATGGCTGACCAGAGTTCAAGTCTTGGACCCGGCGACTTACTTTCTCACTTTCCCTTTCTGTCTGTCTCTTTCTGGTGAACACATGTGCCCTATAGCAAATCCTTTTTTATTTTTAAATAATTATTTATTTAATTTTGTTTATTCATTCATTCATTTTAATTTGACCAGAGAGACACAGAGAGAAAGAGATAGAGGGAAAATGAGAAAGCAAGCCACCAGGTCTGGGACTCGAACCATGGTCGACCATGTGGGAGTGCCCAGCACCTTAACCAACACTCCACCTGCTGGTCCCACTATAGCAAATTCTTAATAATAATAATAATAATAAATAATTAAATTAAATTCATCTTAAGGGGGAAAAAAGGCTATGAGGAAGAATTCAGCTCATGAGTTGACACTGCTCCAGAGTGACCCACAGGATATCACTAGATGGGAAAAGCAATGAGATGGCATGTGTGGGCACAATACTTTGTTGTTAAGAAGAGAGAAATAGGGAACCAGCAGTTAGCGTAATGGCTATGTCACTGGACTCCCACATAGTCGACCGTGGTTCACGTCCTGGACCCGGTGGCTTAGAACTCACGCCGGGCGTGCGTGCGTGCATGCCCAAGATCCCAAGAGGAGAATGGAGGAGAAGGGATTGCGGCGTGACCATCCCCCCTGGGGGGTGATTTCTCGCTTTTTGTCTCTCTGTCTCTCTCAAGCGCACGAGCCCTATAGTGAAAAAGTCACAAAAAAAAAAAAAGAAGAGAGAAATACAGGCTTATACATATTTGCTTATTTAAAAAAAAAAAAACTAAAATCCAATTTTAAAAATTTATCTATAAAAGAGGGAGGGAACAGAGTGAAAGAACCAGGGATGAAAGCTAGACTTCGCTAACTGAACTTTGACATAAGTTTTGACTTAGTAAACACATGAATGTTTCAAATAATAAATAATCACAATTCAAAAATATCTTAAATTCCTAAAAATCTAAATTATAAAACTACTCAAACTTGCTATATATTGATGGCTTACCTAGACAAATTATTTCAAGATATTTTGTTCTAGGTTTTTATGTGTGTAATAATATTTCATTTACGAGAGAGGGAAACAAAGACAGAGACAGAGACAGGCATCCCCGAGAGGGTCCCCCCCCCCCATCACAATCCACCCATCTCAGCCAGTCTAGATCACGGGCTCTCAGCTAGCCCAGATCACACGATGCACATGTACCCTGTGTACTCTGAGAGGTCCCAGGACACAAACCCATGACTTTGCCCATGCGGGCACAGTTGTATTGTTACTGCACCACCATCTGGCGCCATTCCTAGAGACGTGAAAAAACATTTTAGCTTAGATTCATTGAGAAGCCTACCCTGAGTCAAGGATTTGCCAAGGACTTGGAATCCTAGAAGGAGAGTGGTAAAGTCAGACCAAATCAATGTATGTCCTCAAGCCAACTACCACTCTGGGCGAATGGAGCTCTGCAGTTGGGAAACTATGGGAAATGCTACAGTATGTGGAAAATTCAGCAGAGTCAATTATCTGTTTGATTTTTTTTTTCCAACAAATAAATGGCAAGGAAAAAAAGAGGAAAGGGCCGACAGGTGGCATAGTGGTTAAGGCTCTGGACTCCCACATGGCTAACTATGGTTCAAGTCTCAAGCCCAGTGTCTTGAGGATCATGACAGGCATGTGTGCATGCATACCCAAAATCCCAGGGGGAAAATGGAGGAGAAAGGATTGCAGTGTGGCCATCTTCCCTAGGGGGTGATTTCTTACTTTCTCTCTCTCTTTCTCCGCCTCTCCAGTGAACACATATCCCTATAACAAAAGTCTCTTTAAAGAGAGAGAGAGAGAGAGGAAAGAGGGACTACTTTAGATTAAAAAGCATTTAAGAGACCTCAACAGAATGTAATGGATGGACCTTGCTTGTATCCTGATTCAAACAAATAAACTGTAAAATTACATTTATAACATAAACATCCATTTTAATGCAGGCAAATTGTAGATGATTTTAAGGACTTACTAAATTTTAGGTATGATAATGAAGAGAATTCTAAACTTTTAAGTATACATGCTAAAGTAGCTATGTATAACTAAATGATAGAGTATATGGTATTTGCTTTAAAATAATCCAACGTCTGGCTTCCTTCACTTAGCATAATGTCCTGTAAGCTTATTCATGTGGTCACAAATGGCAGAATCTCTTTCTTTTTTAAGGCTGAATAACAGGGCCAGCAGGTGGTGTAGTGGCTAAGGCGCTGGATTCCCATGTGGTCAACCATGGTTTGAGTCCTGGACCCAGCGGCTTAAAACTCACACCAAGCACATGTGTATATGTGCCTAAAATCCCAAGAGGGAAATGGAGAAGAGATTGCAGTGTGGCCAACCCCTCCAGGGAGGGGGGTGATTTCTTATTTGTGAGTGCCATGGACAAGGTGGTGCAGATGTTTTGACAAGGTGGTCATTTTATTTCCTTTGGGTATGTACCCAGAAGAATTGCTGAGTTATATCGTGGTTTTATTTTTAATTTCTCTTACTTATAGCAGAATATAAAAACAAAACAAAAGCAAACAGCTCGAATACACATAAACAGAGAGAAGAAAGGTGGCTGCATCGGTGGGAGAGTGACAGAAATGGGGAGATGGAAGTCCAAGTGTACAAAACTGTGGTTACCTAGGAGGAAAAGTCTCGAGATCTAACACGCAGCATGAGGATAATAGTTAATAATATTTTATCACATGCTGGAAGTTCACTGAGAGTAGATTTTTAGGTACTTTTACCACACACACACACAAGAGGTAATTCTGTGGTATAACGGATATATTCATTTGTTTGACTGTAATCATCCTTTCACTAAGTACACAAATATCGAAATATCATGCTGTACACCCTCAGTACATAATAAAAATTACATAGCCCAGTGCGAGGGACGTATAGAGGAAACAAGATCAACTGCTTGTTAGTAACTGTGAAGAGCTCATGATACGCACTTCCTTGTTGTTTTCTGTGTGTTTACACATCATCATAAGTCATTTTTTTAATCCACATGTGTATATCCTCCTGAAAAACTTTTATACACTCCAAGAGAATATGTACCCAGAAATAAGTCTACTGTAATATTTAGCAGTTTCAAATGTAGTTGGAGTTATACTCATCTGGCAAAAATGTTCGAGGATGAATTTGGTACAAGTTCATAGAAAACTAAGCAAATAAGGGACCAGCAGATGGCATAATGGTTACATCATTGGTCTCCCACGTAGTTGACCGCAGTTTGAGTCTCAGACCCAGTGACTTAAAGCCAGGCACATGTGTGTGCATGCCCAAAATCCTGAGAGGAGAATAGAGGGGACAGGATTGTAGCATGGCCATCCCCCCCACCCCAGCCCCAGGACATGGGGGGAATGATTTTTCGCTTTGTCTCTCCAGAAAATGTGCCCTATAACAAAAATCTCTTTAAAAAAAAAAAAAAGGAAGAAGAGAAAACAAATAAAAATAATGAGGCCACTAAAAACTTCCAAGGGACAGGACTGTGGCCTAGTAGTTAAGAGAGCCAGATCTCAAATGACTGGCCACAGTTTAAATCCTGGTCATGGCAGCTTGTAAAACATACCAGGTACATGTGTGCACAATCTTCAAATCCCAACAGGATGGAGAAATGGAGAAGGGATTGCAGTGTGACCACGCCCCACTGGGGATGATGGTGCTTCATCTCTCTTCTTCTTTTTGTCTCTTTTTATCTGTCTTTTTTGTCTCTTTTTCTCTGGCAAGTGCATGCACTCTCTGGCAATTAAAAAAAAAAATAGTCACAACACTGTGTTAAACAAGAACGTCATAGTATTACATGGCCCAATTGTGAACAATACTCATTTGGCCTGAATAATACAAATGTTAAATACTGATTAAAAAAAAGGATAATGTGTCTATGATAAAAGGATGAGAACAGGGAAAGTGTGGGTGGCACGTGAAGGAAGGCATAGAGAGGTAAACCATCAACTCCTGTAATAATGAGTCCATCCAACAGCACAAGCATGTCACTTAGAAACACAGCGAGAACTGCCCAAAGAATCAGCTAAAATGGTTAGAAGTGACTGATCTGCAGTATTTGCAAGGAGAGGAAGCTAGGTTCTTCTATTTTGCAGGATATGCCTTCTATGACATGTTATATGACGTACTTTGAGAGAGAAAGAAGGAAGAAGGGAGAGAGTGCAAGGGGAGGGAGGGACAGACGGAGGGAGGAGAACAAGAAATGACCTGGCCAGGTCTGCATTTCAGCAACATCACCATAATCTGGTTTCTATTGATAAATGTGGGTTGGAAGAGTTGAGAATTAAAGTCAATGAGGCCAGTTGGTTGGCTGTTAGAATTAAAAAGGAGGAGGAGGAAAATTATGAAGAGGGAAAACTGAGGATAAGAGATTGGGATGGCAAGTCCATCCGGGTGAGCCAAGAACGTGGATGTTATCTTGGAGAGTAACTTACTATCTTCATTTTCTCCTCTCTCTTTCCTCTCCACCCTTTCTCTGATCAAAGCTAAGCCTACTCTTCCACAGATTTTGGGTCCCTCCAACAGGGCTGGCCCAGGCCAAGTAATAAATCTCACCTGCAAATCAACTGACTTCTTTCCCGAAGACGTATATGTGAAATGGTTTGAAAATGGCATGGAGCTTCCAACCTTACAGACTCAAGTCTTTCCACCCGGAAAAGCTTTCTCCTACACTGTCGTCAGCACCACCATAGTGAACCTTACCTTCTCCTCACTCCACTCGCGGGTCACCTGCCAAGTGGCTCACAGTGAACTGCAGAGCCCCCTCAGAGGGCATGCGGACATCTCCCAATTTTTCCGAGGTAAGCACTGCCAATCCCTGACACACACGCACACACACACACACAGGGCCAGCCTTTGGTGACTACTACAGGCTCCCCACTGGGTGCACGCCACCTACATTCTCCCATCCATTCCCCAACAAGCCCACAGTGGGGCAAGTCTGAGGTTCCCGATTTTATACAGCATCCTCCTCCCACATAATGCCATGATTGGGTCCTTCTTTTTCAGAGCTCCCTTCCCTCCAATATCTTCAGGAAGTGGAAGTTCATTCATTCGACAAGTACTTATTGAGCAGCTGCTATGGGGTGGCATTATTCTAGGCGCTGGAGACTCCATGATAAACAGAACAGACCTGGCTCTGCCTTTCTGAGTTCACAGTCATCTGAACCCCATCAGCCAAGACACAAACAACAATATGGTTATGATTGGTAATATTTGCTATGAGGGGAAAGAACAGATGCTGAATAGATGAAAACAGGAGAAATCGAGTTTACTCAGGAAATCATCCCTCATATAGAGAGAGCTTCTAAAATTTTAGGAGAAAAAGGCAAGCGACTTCATAGAATTATGGGCAACAAATATGAAAAGACAAGTTATAGAAAATAAAATACAAACGTCTCTTAAACATAAAAGTATGTTCAGTCACCTTCATATAAAAATATGTACAAATTAAAACCACACTAGGACATGTTTTTCAGCTATCTTGCCCCAAAAGTCAAAAGTTTGATAGCACACTCTTGGGAAAGTTACAGGGAAATAGGTACTCCATATTTTTCTGATAGGAATGCAAAATTATATAATTTGGACAGGATGAAATTGGCAATACATAGCAAAGTTACATATTACAAGACATATATTGGGTCGTCAGAAAAATCATGACGTATTGGGTCATTGGCAAAGTCGTGACCCATTTTTGCATAGAAAAACATAGAAAAATATGTCAGGACTTTACTGAAAACCCAATATTTTTCCAATATGCTTCTTAATCCCAATCCGGCATCAGGAGAAGGAGCAGTTCTGAAAACATAGAAAAATATGTCATGACTTTACTGAAAACCCACTATTTTTCCAATATGCTTCTTAATCCCAATCCGGCATCAGGAGAAGGAGCAGTTCTGGCTACGTACCACCCCTTTTTTTTGCTCTGATTCCATGTTCATTTCCCCAAAGTAAAGCCCAGGTTGCTGTGTATTGGCTCAAACCTTACAGAATGTGGAAGGGAAAGCAAAGCAAATAATCTTCACTATTCCCGAAGGCCCTTTGCCTGGCCTTCACAGTATCCCCAGGGGTCTGTACTTTCCTTAGCCCCAACCAACCTCAGCATGACTGAGTCCCACTTCCCTCCTATGGATGGGTGGATTCCTTTCAGTGGTCCAGAGCCTCATCTTTCCTTCTCTCCAACTTAGTCAGAGAAAATAAAAAAGAATCCATTAATAGTACCATAATCTCCATAGTCAATATCATCCCCATTGGAAACAATTTGTGGTATTATTGCAAATGCTAAGACATATTACTCAGATGCTTCCATGCCAAAATAGAAATCTGTCTTGGTTTAGCCAAAAGATACTACAAGAGAACTCTAGTCTAGAAGTTGAATGTTAGCCTCTACTTTGAGCATCCCAAAGAAACCACAAAGGCCTTGTGTCCCTATTTTGTTCAGATGAAGAAACTGAGGTTTATCAAAGTAAAGTGAATTACCCAAGGTCACTTGGTTCTTAAGTTAGCATCCTGGAATTTAAATGCTCCTCTTCATAAGACCATTTCTGCTCTTTTCTATAAAAGCCACTCATGCAGAGATACCAGAAAAAGGGATCCTTTCCCACCTTCCCCAAAAGAAGTCCAGTCATTGTCAGCCCAAAGAGTCCTGTTCTCCCAACCCTGTCTGAATCCATGGATTCTACTGCCTTCTCCTTATAGAAACCTTCCATCAACCCAGTCATCCAAAACAGAGACCTGTTCTTACCCAACCCATCACCAAGTTCTGCCAAATTTCCCTCTCAACTCTCTTTAGAACCCATACATTTCATTCTCCTGCCACTACCCAAGTTAAAACCAAAGTCCAGGGGACCAGTGGGTGGTGTGGTGGTTAAGGCACTAGACTCCCACATGTTGACTACTGTTCAAGTCCAGGACCTAGTGGCTTGTTTTCTCACTTTCTCTCTCTCTTTCTCTCTCTCTCTCATCAATTTTTTTAAAAAAAATAATGACAATAAATACAATTAAATATATAATTCTTTAAAAAAGAAAGTTTAAGCTAATATTACCTCTTATTACCTCTTACCTGGACAATTACAACAGCTTTTTCTTTCTTTTTTTTTTTTTCTTTTCTTTTTGTTTTAGATTAAGTTAGGTTTTATTTGCATGGGGCAGGGCTCAGTCCTCAGCAGCCACTTTCCCCATTGCGGCCAGGACGTTGCTTAGCTCCTTGCGCTTCCTCTTCATGGGGATGTGTGTCCCCATCTGCTTCTTGAGGAACTTAAGGGTGCACTGGTCTTTGGACACTTTGAGCAGCTCCATGGTGCACTGCTCATAGGGGGCAAAGCTGCACACCTCCGGGATCATGTCGCACATGAACTTGGTGTGCTTGGTGAGACGCCTGTGGTGGCGCCTATGCCTCGGCTTGCTCATGTTCTTGGTCACTTTGTGGCCCTTGTTGAGGCCTACGACCATGGGGTAGCTCAGAGCTATGACTGCGGTTCTCCAATGGCTACTGAGGCCGAAGGCGACCATTACAACAGCTTCTAACTGGTCTCTCCTATCTGTATTACTCAGGATAGTCCATCCACCAAACTCCTAAGAGACAAGGGAAGTCTATAAAGGAAACCAGACTTAAACTTTGCAGTATCCCAGCTCTGCTCTTGGGGAGAAAGTATTTACTCAGATGTTCTCAACAGCAATCTTGAAGCATTTTTATTCATATTTCCCTAAAATCATTGTGAAGAACTATGTAGCCCATGCTACATTTTAAAGATGACTTCTAAAATTTTTCATCATAAGCTTAAGTAGTTACCCAGGACATAACTCCTGGTTTTTATATCACTCTGAAAACATTCAATAGAAAAATAACATCATAGTGATTTAACTTCCGTTGTCATCTATTTAAACAAACATTAAGAAGCTCTTTTAATAATCAGAAATTTTATATAATTTTCTTCCTAAAACTGAACTTTTATCAGGATAATTCTTATTATCCTAAAGTAGTATAGTTTTATAATAAAAGCCTTTTATCAACCACAATAGTATGCATACACATATCACAGAGAACTATGAGGACACAGAGAATGCCAATGTAAATGTGTACATAAATTGAAATTAAAAACAATTTTTCTTAAGACCATACAATTTTCAGTTTTGACTTCTTTTGGATTGGATTATATGGTTGATGGAATCAATCTACGTATATGACAAAATCGAGTAATTATTTAAGTAGGAGCCAGCAGGTGGTATGTTGGTTAAGGCACTGGACTCCCACATAGACAGCTGTATTTCAAGTCCTGGACCTGGTGGCTTGAAAAATCACACCAGACATGTGTGTCAGCACACTTAAAATCCAAGGAGAATGGAGAAGGGACTGTGGCATAGCCATCTTCCTTGGGGGGTGATTTCTCACTTTCTCACTGTCCTTCCCTTGCTCTCTCTGGCAAGTGCACATACCCTGTGACAAATACCTTAAATAATAATAATGATGATGATGATTTAAATAGCCATTAAAATGTTATTGGGAATGCAGTTCAGTGAGCTAGATGGGGCGTTTATGATGCATTGATTAAAGCAGGCTTCCTGGCCAGCAATATTTTGAAGTATCCTTTTATTTAATATTCCAAAGTCTTTACACCAAGGGCAATGCCCCACAGCTAGATTTATGATGTGTTGAAAGAAGATCTTTCTTTATGAAGTAACAGAAAGGAAATTGAGAAACAGGTGGTAGGGGAGAGTGAATTGGCCTTGACGCTTATTCTTGGGCAGATCACTTTTAGAAAAGAGTTCCACAAAGGCTCAAGAACTGGAAACGAACTGTGTTAAAACGATCAGTATCTGTGTTCTTTAGAATGTCTTCAAGCAGCCCCCGAAGTGAGCATCAGTAGGTGAGCTGGTGTTCAGCCTGACGATGAATGCTTCGTCTCACCCACGCTCCCTCTCCTTCACTTTGATCTTCTTTTTGAAGTCCTTGGAACACACCAAGCTTTACCCGAAGAACCCTGCAAGCTTTACCCCCAAGGCCTTTCCCACTGCCTGAAATACCTGTGTCCACCCACAACTCAACCAGTGTCCCCATCCTTCTTCCCTCCCCCGGCACCTTTGCCTACTAACGTGGTAACAAGGTTACATAATAAATTCTCCCCACACTTATTCCCATATTCTAAATTCATTCCAAATCCTCATAATTAGTATGTTTATGGACTCTGTGGTTCAGGAATTCTGAGGAAGCTGAGCAGGGATAGCTTGTCTCTGCTCTGGGATGGCTAAACCTCAGCTGGGTGACTCAGGCCAGAATCACCTGAGGCTCCTTCTTGGGACTGGCTATTGGCTTGGGGCCTCAGTCTTCTAGACAGGAGCTTCTCTTAGTCATCTTTCCACATGGGCTAAATTGGGCTACCTCATCGCTTAGTGGCTGTGTTCTAAGAGTAACTATCCCAAGAAAGACAAACCTAGGTAGAAGCCATATCAACTTTTATGATCCAGCATTGGAAGTGACATAGTGCCATCTTTGTTACACTGTGGTCATCAAGGTAGTCACAAGACTTACTCAGATGCCAGGAGAGCAGAAATAGGCTCTCCCTCTGATGGGGAGTGACATGGTTCTGAGAGAACATGTGGGACTTGCTGGATCTGTTTTTAGACAATACCATCTGCTACATATAGTTCACTCCTATTCATCTTTTATATTTCCATTCAAAGGTCACTTCCTCTGAAAGTCCTTCCACAGCCTGTCCACCTCCAGGCCAGGTCAGCTGTCCCTGTGGTAGGCTCTAGGAACCCCCCATGATGGTCATGAACCTGTCTTTTGCTCCCTGTCCTCCGCACCAGAGTGGGAGTTCACATGAAGCAGGAAACATGCCTATCTTGCTCTCTGCTGTATTCTAAGAACTGAACACAGTCCCTAGAAAGAGATGGATGCTCTTTGAGCATGTTTTGCACAAAGGAAGAAAGTAACCAAAGAAGGGCTATTGTTTCAGTTGTGTCTGCAGTGAACATATCAGCATACCAAGTCCCAAGACTCCAGGCAACCATCCTCACCTGCTGTGTGCAAAAGTTTTACCCTGAAGATACTCGAATAACCTGGCTGGGGCGGAATGGATGTTTCGAGAACTGTTCAGCCTTTACTCGCACCAGAAATCCAGATGGCACATTCAGCCAAGACTGTCATATCCTGGTCAGCACTTCAGAGTGGGAGGACAAAAGGCTGTTCACCTGCCAAGTGTGGCAGGATGCCCAGGCACTGGTCCAGACCAGCACGCAGATGAGCGAACTGAGAGAAGAGCAACAGAGTTTAGGTGAGTAAGACTAGAAGAACCAAGCAAATCAAAGGCTCAGATCTAAAGAGACAGGCTGGCCTCAGAGGCTGGCTCTGCCATGCTGGCCAAGTATGACTTGGGAATGTCACTTCCCCTTTCTGAAACTCAGCTTTGTCATCTATAAAATAAGACAGTTTCCATTGTGAAAGCTCTTCAGAGCATTGTACCTTAGGTCCCCAATAGCAGTAAACATGGCTTTCATCACACAGCTGGGTCCAGATGATGCTCATTTACCAGATACTCCTGCAAATAATTAAGTTAATACGAAACATCATTCTCCAGTTCCCACCCATTCTCTCTCAAGTCGTTCAGATTCAACAGATGACTGAATGCCTATTATGTACTTTGCTTGGGTGCTCTTCCCTGATACAAAGTCATTCTAAAACGTGTTGTGGACCCCTTTTAACGATAAGGAAACAGACTCGGAGAGGTGAGGTGACTCCCTCCAAGAGCAGGATGCAGTCTTGGTACCTGGGTCAGGAGTATGACTGAGCCTTCCTGGGGGTGAGTGGAGGACGTAGAAACTCTTCCTGATATCTGTCACAGGAGCTGCAGTGTCCACTTCCCTCTTTCTCCTTGGATGGAAGTTGTTACCTCTGACTGCACTTTCTGTCATCTTTGTTCTCAGAAGCCTCCTTTCAAGGTAAGGGGGGACCCAAGATAGGGGTTGGGTTCTCAGGGGTAGGATTCCAACTGACAAGTGCACTGTGAGAAGAAAGCCAGGGGGCCTTCTCATTTCTTCTCTACTTTGAAGGATATTGAACTCAAAGGATTCCTGATAGTTGTATCCCAATCCCTTCACCCTTCCCCTCTCTGTCTTTCGTACCGTACATTCAGCCAAAACTGCAGGTGCTGGGGTCAGCAGGTGACGTGGTTGTTAAGGCGATAGACTCCCACATGGCCAACTATAGTTCAAGTCCCAGACCTAGTGGCTGTCTCTCTCTCTCTCTTTCTCTCTCTCTGTAGCAAATTAATAACAATAATAATAATGATAATGATAAATGAAATTACATTTTTAAAATGCAAGTGCCCCTGGTCAGAGCAGGGGTGGGGAGCATTTAGGGAGGAAGAGAAAGAAGGAGTTGATATGAAGACAACACTCTTGAGTGGTCTCTAAGGAGAGGTCTGAGAAGAACAAGAGCTTTGCCTCAGCTTCCTGCTTCCTCTACAGGTCACAGGCACTGCAAGCACATCCCTCCTCTGTGACATAAGACCCTCAGTCCCTCCTGTCTTCTCCAGGAAGACCAGCCCTGGAGAGGGACCTGCCAAGATGCCTGTAGCTGCTACTCCAGCTTCTCCTGCCTCATCAGCCTTCTGAGACCTGTTCTGCACTCGCTGTTCCTCCCTGTCTCCTGCAACCCCCAGAGGATGTGAGAGCATAGACCAGAAAGGTCAGTAGTAAGAAGTGGACCTTCATTCCACCCAGGAATGGAGTTTCTGTGGAGATTCTGACCTCAAAGTCCATGAACCTGACCAAGAACTCCCACAGAGGCAGGACAAGCTCCAACCCAGAGGGAAACACATATCTGCAATTCTGATGGCCCCTTCTCAGCTCCTTGAGGAAAGCCGATTTGGGTTTGCTCAAGGAGGAACTTGTGGGCACACAAGTTCTGCCATGAAATCTTTACAGCCCCATCATTAAAATGGGAACTGAAGGTAGTGATTATAACCAAGGAGCATATGAAGAGATACCAAACCTCATTAGTAATCAGGAAAAGCCAGTGAAAAACCACACTGAGATGCCATTTTACTCCTGTTCAAATAACAAAAATAAAGAAGCAAACTGGTCTTTCATACATTGCTGGTTGGCACAGAATGGACACAGCTGCTTTAAAACACGGTTTGGAAAATGTTGCATTGAACATCTATATGCCTTAGAACCTGACATTTTTACTCTGGACACTCTTGCACTTGTGCACCAGGAGATATATACAAATGCACGTGTAGTTTAACATTAGCAAGACCTGAAAACTATCCAAATGTGCACCTACAGGATGATGGGCAATAAGTTTAGTTCAATCACAGAATAACATGTTATATAGCAATAAAAATGAATTAACTACAGCTACACGGAGTCATGTGGATCATTCTTAGCAATAAAATATTGGCAGGGGGAGTAAATGCCAAAAGATTTCATATCCCATGATACTCGTTTTATAAAGCTAAACACACCCAATATTAAATAGTTTTATGACTACACAGAAATATAATCAAACTCATATTTATAAAAAAAGAATAATGAACACAAGATTCAAAATATCAGTTATTTTACAAGTAGGGAGGCAGAAAGATGGGAAGATTGGTTATATATAGGTACTCAGAGATTATATTCACGGCTCTAGCTTCCCTGCTGAATGGTGGCTTCATGAATGTTTACATTACTAAAAAAAAACAAACAACAAATAGAATAACAAGGGACCAGTAGTTGGCGTAATGGCTATGTCACCGGACTCCCAAGTAGTCGACCGCAGTTCAAATCCCAGTCCCGGTGGCTTAAACTCACGCCGGGTGCATGTGCGTGTGTGCCCAAGATTCCAAGAGGAGAATGGAGGAGAAGGGATTGCAGTGTGGCCATCCCCCTGGTGGTGATTTCTTGCTTTCTGTCTCTCTGTTTCTCTCTGTCTTTATTTCTTTTTTTGTAAATAATGAAAAATAGAATAACAAGATCGATATAGGTATGTAGGAGGAAAATAAGTGGTTGGATGATTGGAAGGGAGACAGGGAGGGAGAGAGGGAGGAAGGATTGATGGATGGACAGATGAACAACAAACAGGCGAACAGAAAGATATATGGGCAGGCAGATGGATGGATGGGTAAATAGACCAATAAAGAAGGTCATGCCTAAATCAAAGACTTAGAGTACCATGAAGCAAGAATTGTGATAAGTAAAATTCTGCATACTTAAGATCCAAAGGAAAAAATAAAAGGACATTAACTGGAGACCCCCAAGTTACCTTTCTTTAAAGTTCTTGCTATAGTGCACGTGTACTCACCGAAGAGTGTGTGAGAGATCAACCCCCTCCCCAGGGGGTGTGACCACACTGCAATCCCTTCTCCTCCAGTCTCCTTTCAGGATTTTGGGCATACATACACATGTGCCCATCATGATTTTCAAGCCACTGGGTCCAGGACTCGAAATGCGCAGCTAGCCAGGTGGGATCCAGCATCTTGACATCCTTCCCATCTGCTGGCCCCTAACCCCAAGTTCCCTTTTTATTGTGACAGTCTACAGTTCTGTATAAGGAAGGAAAACAAAGCTACTGGTGCACCATGGGTCTGGTACTTCATATACAGTAGTATCTCATTCATCCTCATATCAGCCCTGCATGATAGGCATCATTCCCCATTTTGCAGGTGAGGAATGTAAGGAAACAGCCCGGTGTTATGCAGAAAACAGTTGAAAGAACCAAGAAACCCAGATTCAAACTCAACTCTTCTCAGTGCTTTACAAGGAAGCACCACTCCCCCCCCACCCCACCACCACCACCCCAAGGGTTCCAGATCCAGGCGGGATCCAGCCTTGAACACTTGTAGTCACAGAAATAGAGAGGGAAAGGCTAAGCCCAACTTCCTCTCAGGCACGAATCTTCTCTTCAATATTTTCTACTCATAGCAGAGCAGCATCAGCTTCAACACCCCCATCCCCAGCCTCCCAGTTGTGGAGCCTTGAAGATGCCTTGGTCTCCTTCCTTTTCATCTCCCCCTGGAAGCAGGGCCTAGACTAGGGTGAGATCAAGTCCTAGGGAGCAAAATGAAGAAGACATTCATTCTCGGGGCTGAGCAACGGTCATATGAACACGTGTAGGACCTCGCCTGCATACATTTTGTGCCCCAGGTGCCCTAAGTTTCCAAGTCCCGTTGATTCTGTTCTTTCTCAGTCATCTGCATGGCTGCTCAATCCTCATCAGTGCTTACCCCCATCACTCCAGAACCCTCCTCAAAGGACCTGCTCTGGAGACGCCAATCTATTCATTATATCAGAATGGCCTTTTACAAACATTTGCTCAAAAAGGTTTAGGTAAGGGGCCGGCAGGTTGTGTGGTGGTTGAGGCACTGGACTCCCACATGGGTAACTATGGTTTGAGTCCAGGATCTAGTGGCTTGCTTTCTATTTTTTTTAGAATTTTTAAAATAAGGTGCACGCTCTCGGTGGAGAGACAGAGAGACAGAGAGACAGAAAGCAAAAATTGTGCCCCCAGGGGAAATGGCCACACCGCAATCCTTTCTCCTCTATTCTCTTCTCAGGAGTCTGGGCATGCGTGTTCACATGCCTGGCATGAATTTTAATTCACTGGTGTCCTCAGTGAGCCCAGCCTAAGGTTTCCATATAAATATTAGCTCATTTCCAAGAAAGTTATGCCTCCTCTTATTCCCAAATACTACTGAGTGTATTCTCTATGCTAAATACTGTGTAAACACTGAGCACACATTGATGAATTTTGGTAAAAATAATCTCTACCTTTGTGGAGTTTACAGTCTGATGAGGACAGATAGAATAGAAAGAAAGGAGAGATGGGTATGGAGGGGAGGAAAGAAGGAAGAAAGAAATATAGGGTTGAAAATGTGATTTCTGTTTTGAAGAAAATGAGGGGGCCAACAAAATAATAGAGATCTTCACGGGAGTCAGGAATGAAATGGCAGCTAGCTAGGCCAAATGGTAGAGAAATCTCGACTCAGAGAAAGGAACCTTTCTGCAGACCCCTGAAAGTTGCAAAGAGCTAGGGAAATGCCTTTTTGTTAGAAAGAACCTATTGTGCTAAGCCTTAATGTAAGAAAGAGCTTGAAATGTTCATGAAGAGGAAAGGAGCAGGGGAGGGGGACGGTGGAGAGTGAGTAATGGGGCATGAGATTATGCTGGAGAGATGGGCAGAGACTAGGTCATGCAGGGATTCTCATGGCAAAGACTTGGTTTATATTCAAAGACTAGAAAGACACTGGACATTTATGGGACACAGAAGTGGGATTCTATCTGTTGTTGATAATGTGTTTTGAATCCTCAGCTGAACTGATGCAAAGTGTGTTCACATTGGGTAAATTCGACTTACAAGCAAAGCAATGTATAGTGATTAAATGTCTAAAATAAAAATAATAATAATAATATAATAAAGAAACAAATGAGCCATAAGAAGGGGGAAAAAAAACATAAAGAAAGACATTGGAGAGCTTTTATCTGTCTGTTTTTGTAGAGGTTTTTGCCTTAGGGTGCATGTGCTAGGGGTAAGGGGGAAAGAGACAGGCACAGTGAAAGGGAAAGTGAGAAATCAGCCTCCAGGCAAGATGGCCACACTGCAATCTCTTCTCCTCCATTTTCCTCCTGGGATCTTGGGCACGCACATGCATGGGGCATGAGTTTCAAGCTACCGGGTCTGGGACTGGAACTATGCTTGGCCATGTGGGAGTCCAGTGACATAACCACTATGCCATCTGCCGACCCTGACGTTGGAGAGTTTTAGTTCACAGAGTAAATTATAAGATCTGACTTACAAGCTTAGAAATCACCATGACTCCGATGGGGCCAGTAGGTTAGAGGAAAGCAAGTCATCAGAAAATTCAAGTATGAGGGTACTGCAGGAAACCAAAAGGACGTGTGAGTGACTTGAGCTAAGACAGTGCCAGCAGAGATGCAGATAAACTGACTCATGAGAGCAGCACCTAAAAATGGAAGTGACAGGTCTTGCCTGGGGACTAAGTATGAACAGCAATGGAGAGGGAGGAATCAGGGGTGGCTTCCTGGTTAGGCTGAGCAAAGGACGAGATGAGGCAAACAGGTGGAAGAATAGGTTTGGTGGTGGGAATTAACAGTTCCGTTTTAAGCATGTTAAATATAATGTTTGTTCGTCATCCAAGTGGAGATGTTGAGTAGGCAGATGGACAGATACGTCTGGAGCTCAGGAGAGAGGTCAGAACGGAAGAGATATTTTTGGAGTCATTGGGTCTGTAAAGCTGGTTGCCAGGGCAGCCAATCAGCAGAGTTAAAATATCCAGATTTTCCTTTTCTGTCCTTCTGGTCTCCCCACAGCCCTTGGATGCAATGCAGTCTTTAGGCTCTAGTACAAAACAAGTACAGGCATGACCTGTTCATTTCAGCATGATCGTAAATATAGGTCCTTTTCCTTTTCATATTTACTGAGGGTTGTTGGCATGTTTCTTCAATAAATCATATTTCAAATCATTCAATATGGTCTCACATAGTGGCCAAAAAAGGAGCTGATATTGCAGAAGGTTAGGAATGTTCTTCTTGGTCCCCATTACCCTGGTGATACTCAGTAGCTTCCCTGGAGACTGGGGAAAGGCCCTAAGAGCGACAGAGAGAGAAAGCATTCACAAGGGGGAAGTGAAGCCGCTGAGAGATGCTCACCTTTAGCATCGTAGCCCATCTGAGCTTTTGGTGTCTCTCAGTCCAACCTCTTTTCTCCAAGTCCAGTTTCCAGATAGGCAAGTTGTGTTCTAATGAGCACTGGTCAAAAAATAAAGCAGTGCGACTTCCAGCCACCATCCAGGTATGCAAAGAAGTTTACATTTTTTACATTTTCTTTAATCAACATAACTTCTATTCGAAGAACTCTTTCCATGAACTAAATCCTTTTTTACTTTCCATGAACTAAATCCTTTTTTAAAAAAATTGTATGGGCATGGTGGCGCCCGCCCTATGGCCAAAAAAAATTTTTTTAGAGAGAGATTTTTGTTATAAAGCATGTGTACTTGCCAGAGACACAGAGAGAAACAGTGAGAGAAAAAGTGAGAAATCACCTTCTGAGGGGGATAGCCATGTCGCAATTCCTTCTCCTCCATTCTCCTCTCAGGATTTTGGGCATGTAGGCACACATACTCAGTGTGTTTCAAGACACCAGGTCTAAAACTCAAATTGCAGTTGGCCACGTGGGAGTCCAGCGCCTTAACCACTATGCCACCTGCTGGCCCCACCATGAACTACATCTTAGCAACTCAAAATCTCCATCAGAGCAGGTTCTTCCATTCCCATTCCCAGTGGTGTCTGTGGCATTTTCGTGACAATGGTACATGCAGGTATCTGCTAAATCCATCACCTTGTGCAGCTCTTGGCA